ATAGAAGGTTATAGGTTTTTAGAGCAATTGTAAAATAAATAAAACTTATTCCAATTGAAATAAATAAAACAATTAAAATGATAAAATAAAATAGAGATGCATATATGAGGTACTTGAAATGAAATAGAGATGCATTCAATAAACAAAGGATTATATTGACTTAAATTTCCGCTTTTCATCATAACCAATTCGTCCCTATTAAAAACCTTCTCTGATTTGATTCATATGGAATGTGATTTTGCTTGTGATAAAATAAAGAATAACCCTTAATTGTAAAAAAATGTCGATTGCATTAAAGAATTAATTACGATGCATTGGATTAAAGTAAGAATATTTTGCTGATTATGATATATATAAATATATAGAAAAAAATAAATTAAGAGGAAACACGGAAAATTGAAATCCAATTAGTACATGACCAAAATCCGTTAATATTAACGCGTTTTCTATGGTCGGCCAATTTTTCTTTGAATTACCATAAAAATTAAAAATAATTAAGACAGTCAAACGTAAAAGAAATCCAGTTGAATGATATACGAAAGTGAAAAAAGACTGCTCTTGATCCAATTAAGACAAGGAGATCCATGAAGCATAAACCAGGACTATTCAACTTAAATTGCACCAAACTCGTTAACAGAAGATCGATTGCCCAAAACTCAAATCCAGAAGATCGATTACCCAAAAATCAAATCCAGGGAACTAACACATGTTTTACTTCCGCAACAGATATATGTGAGGAAAAAAAACAAATCTATGAACATTGTTTATATAGATTAATTCTTAAAAGTCAAATGTTAGGAAAAAAATAGTGTAGATTTACCAGATGTGCGTGCTCTTCTTGTGCATTTATGGTGTATATTGAGCCTCTTCCTTTCTCCATCTTCAGTTTTTACTTTTGATTCAAACTCTTTGTTTTTTTTCGCCTTGTCTCTTTTGTTCACATTGATGTAGCACAATATTCTTATGTCTCTTACTCTTGTATGTGTGTGACAAGTAAAAGGAACAATTGCATTCAATATATAGACAAGTGGTAGTAATAGGATGATGAAAGGTAGAATATTTATTAATTGTTGTTCTATAATAAAAAAGTGACCTATTTCGTTTCCCTTCGGTGAATAGAATATTTAAGGAATTGCTTGCTTCCATGTGTAAGTGAATTGTTGAAGAGTACCATAAAATTTACTAAGGACTATGATTGTAACACCCCGCATTTTTGGTAAAATATTATTATTTTATTTTACCACCTTTATGTGCATATATGTGAAATTAGAATTTATAATAACTCTTGCATGGTTAGTATTTACGTGAATTAGGTAATTATGTGAAGTATATGAATTATGTGATTATTGTGTGAATTATGTGATTTGGTGAATTATGTGCTTAGGAAATATTTCGAGATATTATTTCGAAATAAATTATTTTTCATAAACTAGGATTTTATTCTTGCATATGAATTTAAATGAACATTTCATCATATTTATGCATGCAAAAAATTTTAGAAAATAAATTTTTTATCATGCATTTTAGGATTTTTAATTAATGTCGAAAATTAGGAAATCCTCCCCACATTTTCTTGAATTTTCGGACATCACACACACACACATGATTTTTAAATTTTTGCATATTAATTAGTAGAAAAACACGCATTAGTGTGGTTGTACTTTGAGCATAGAAAGAAATACTCAAGCCTAGTTCCCTACTCTATAGACTAGGCATGTTTTTCACTCCTTTAAGTAAGACCAAAGGTCTTTCTTCTTCTCCCTTCCTCCTTCATTTCGGCAGCCATCACCCCCACCACCATAGCCACCATTTTCTCAAGCTTGAACCACCCAAGAACCACCACCACTCCTATTTTCGGAAATTGCAAAATCACCCCCACAAAAGATGTATTTTCCTTTCTTCTCCATTGGCTTTGAACTCTCCAAAAACTCTATAAATACCTCCCATGCCCAAGATCAAAATACACTCTCAAACTCTACTCTTACAATCCTTAAGTTCAAAGTCTCCTTCTATTTCAATAAAGGAAGAATTTTCGGCCAAGGCTAAGTAAGCTTCCTCTTCCTCTTTTCTTTTCCTTTTTTTCCGAAAGAGCAAAGCTCTTCTTCCTCCAAGTTCTTTTGTTTTCTTCTTATTTTCTTAATGCCTAATCTAACTCTTAATCTCTTCTTTTATTAGAGAGAAAAGAGCTAACAAATCCTTCCCCTAAAGAGTATAGGTGAGAATTCTTGAATTCTTGCTCAAACCTACAACACCACTAGTATTTTCGGTTTTTATGTATTTTTATGTGATTTATTTGTTGATTCTTGCATATTATTTGATTATATGGTTTAGATGATGATTGCATGTTAGTGTTTTGAAAAGATAACGTTGTTCTTGAAGTTCTATGAAACTTTCGAATTTTTGGGGGAAAATGTTTAAATTGCTTATTTGGCTTAATTAGTGCCTTGCATGTGTTAATCTAGTGTTTGATTGTTGATTTGTGAAAAGAAAATGAATTTTTGGCCTAGCCATGAAACTTTCGAATTTTTGGGGGAAAAATGTTTAAATTGCTTATTTGGCTTAATTAGTGCCTTGCATGTGTTAATGTAGTGTTTGATTGTTGATTTGTGAAAAGAAAATGAATTTTTGACTTAACTAAGGAACTTTCGAATTTTTAAGATAAAATGCTTAAAATTGCTTATGTGGTTTATTTTGTATCTTGCATCTGTTGATCTTGTGTTGATTGTTGTTTTAAGGCCTTGCATGTAAGATTTGGTGATTGATTGTTGATCTAAGGTCTTGCATGTTAAGATCTAGTGATTGATGGTTGATCTAAAGTCTTGCATGTTAAGATCTAGCGTTTTCTATGTAAAATGATTTAAGAACTAAGGATTTGTGCTAACTTGATTTAAAATACTCTTGCATGTGAAGATCTAGTGTATTTGCTCGAATAAATGTAAAGATGAAAGTCTTGAATTTTATTCTTGTAAAAATGCTAGATTTAGTGAACTTTTGATGTTAGATTGTCTTTGCATGTTAAGATTTCAGTTACTTTTATGTTTTTATGGCTAAATGATTTTGTGAAACTTTATGTGTATTTTCTATGTGCTCTTGCTTGCTTATGTGAATCATTGGGTGTGAGGATGAGAGAAGGGTAAGTAGAAGGGTGCATGGGGGGGTGCATTAGTGTCATGAAATTTTAAAAGATAAAACTATGTTGGAAAGTCTTTCGAGGTTACGGTAAATTTCCCGGGTACGGCGAGTCGGTACCGTAGGGCCTAGGGGTGGTTTGATCCCACGTAGATAGACATGATTCGATATATATGTGAGGTTATTTACTGGTAACTTAGATTGGCTCTTCCGAGGGATTCCCGACAATTTTTCATGTCATGCATGTTGCATTATTGTGTTGATGATATAGGTGGGAAAATCTCACTCTATGGTCTTGGGATCGTAGGGTTATAAAGGTGGGAAATTCCTTCTATAATCTTCAATACGTGTCATGGCATAAGGTTATAAAGGTGGGATATTCTCACTCTATGGTCTTGGGATCATAGGGTTATAAAAGTGGGAATTATCTCACTCTATGCGTGTGGCAATTATGTGATGAAGAACGCCGACGAAAAAGGGAAGTATATGATTGTTTTACTTTATGTTGCATGTTCATGTATAAGATATATGTATGTATATATATAGATATATGTATGCTCTATGTGCTATGTGTATTCGATAATATTTCAAGATTCTCATTGAGTCCTCAAAGGCTCATATAGGTGTTGTATGTTTGTAGGTATACCCGATTTAGGGCCCGAGGAGGAAAGTTGGGAATCGAGCTCGAGGATCGGAAGGAGATCGTATGGAGGGGTTGTGGATTGTGTTGGCTCTTAATTTAGTCATGTGGTTCTATTTGTATAATATGCTTGTAAAAACTTTTGATACGGTTTTAGGTATTTTCTACCGTTCGCTTCCTCCGATCGGTGGGAATTATTAAAAGACGATATGTGTAATAGTAATTAGGATTACCCTATTTTAGATAATTAATCGGTAATCCGTAGCCTTTTGTAAGCGAAAGCAAATTTTCACTATTTATATGCATGCATGCTTTCGGCTAGTAATTTCTTCGTGTTTTGTCTCCATGTTCTAAAATTATTTTCATATAGGTGTTCTGCTTAGAAAATCATGAAACTTTAGGAGTCTCTGAATCTCTCTGTTCTCATCATATTGATAGGTCTTGTGCATGATTTGGGTAATTATTCATTTAGTTATGATTTATTTATCACTACTGCACTGAAACAGGACCATTCGGGTGTTTTCTGGTATAACTGGATTTTTACTAACTCAAATGCCTTGTTTCTCCTTTGAAAATATTTTAAACTTATGGTTCTACCTTGGGGTAAAATTTGGTAGTTTTTGGGTCAGTGAGGAATTTATTATGAATTTTCAAAACCCCCTCCCCTGTTCTGGATTTTAAACCGAGTGACTGTGTCATTTTATTTATTTCTCCTACATGGCCATGCATCTTTCAAAACTGTTTTAAGTGTGTGATCTAGACCCATGTTAGATGATATGGTATTATTTTGGGGTCATTTTGATGATTATTTTAAGAGGAATTAATTTTCAAAACGTCTGCATTGAATCTGTCCGGATTTGCAGTGAGTCCATCATGCCTAGTTATTTTCTCGTCTTGCATGTAGCATGATTTTGTGTCAATTATTTGATTAGGATTTAGTACACTGTGACCTCTCTCCCTCTGATTTAAAACAAAATTTTTTACATAAATTTTATATCCACAAAAAAATCATTTTTAAAAGTCTTCCGCTGAGATTACATATAATAATAGTAATCGAGAGAGGGGTGTCACAGCAGTGGTGGTATCAGAGCAACGATCCCGGAAACCTCCATACGACCTAAAGATCTTCACGATTCTCAAAGCACGACTCCAACTGAACACTCGGACAGGTATTTGTTTTATGTGAATTTTATGGCTAATGTGAATTGTTTGTATATGTTTAAGTATTAAAATGTCTGGAGCAAGAACTCGAGCTCAAAATGCCGCTAACGATCCTCATAATCAATCTCGTACCATCCAAGACCTCACCGCCCTCGTCCGTGAACAAAATGAACAAATCAACCGCCTTGTTAACCTTCAAAACCGAAACCCTCCTCCACCTCCTCCTCCTCCTCCCCAACCTAGAAATACAGCCCCACAAGCCACCTACGAGCGTTTCTTGAAAATGCATCCTACCGAATTCCACGGCGGCCCAAGTCCAACTGTTGCCGAAGAATGGATCAAATCCCTCGAAGTTATTTTCGAGTACATGGTGATGAACGACAGCGACCGGATCCATTGCGCACTATTCTTGTTGAAAAACGAAGCCCGAAATTGGTGGGAAGGCGCAAAGAGTGGAATCGATCTAGCAAATACCACTTGGGAAGCTTTCAAAGTTCTTTTCTTCGAAAAGTACTTTTCCAAGAATGTTCGAGCACAAAAGCTTAAGGAGTTTCTCGAACTCAAACAAGGAAACCTAACCGTTGCCGAATTCACACGCCGTTTCGAGCAAGGAAGCCTCTACGCACCTTTCATATCCAAGGACGACACCGAAAAGATGAATCACTACCTAAGAGGCCTCAACCCGATAATCAAGCGCGACGTTCGACTAACCTCTGCCTCTACTTTCCGGGGAGTAGTGGACAAAGCCTTGGAAGCCGAACAAGACGAGATGGAAATCCGACAATGGAGACCTCCTCATGATGCCTCTTCTCGACCATGGAAGAAACCTAACCTCAACAACGCCAAAGGAAAGCAACCGATCAACCGAGCAACCGTGACCCCGAGCAACAAACCCTTTTGCCCTAAAAGCAATCGAGAGCACTCTGGCGATTGTGTTGCCGGAACCAACCACTGTTTTCGATGCAAGAAGCCCGGACACATGGTCCGAGACTGCCCTATCGCCCCGAGACAAGTGCCGGGACGAGTATTCGCCATGACTAGAGACCAAATCGAAGCTGACCCGTCAATGATCGCATGTACCGTTAATGTGTATAATAATTCTGTGTATGCCCTCATCGACTCCGGATCAACTCACTCATTCATCTCAAGTACCCTCGTTGCCGAACTCCGCCTAGTCCGTAGTCAAGCCGATGCCTTGTTTAGCATACTCATTCCTTCCGGTGATGAACTTAAATCCAATTTCATCATCAAAGATTGCCCTATTCAGATTCATAACCTCCGATCTAATCATCCTACCCATTCAACATTTCGAAATAATCCTCGGAATGGATTGGTTATCAAAATTCGACGCCCAAATCAATTGCGCTCACAAAACCGTTCGTTTCTCCTTACCGAATGGAAGTTTTCTCGAATTCCGAAGCTCGTACAATCCGTCGATTCCTATCATTTCCGCCATTAAAGCGAGCAAACCTATTCAAAAAGGGCATCTATGTCATCTGGTCGACATAGTGGAAGCTCTCAACGAAGATAAAGCCGACATTTCCAAAGTGCCAACCGTTTGCGAATTTCCCGATGTCTTTCCCGAAGATCTCCCCGGTCTTCCGCCCGATCGTGAAATCGAATTCGAAATTAAATTGATCCCCGGTTCCGCTCCTATCTCGAAGGAACCTTATCGCATGGCGCCATTAGAGCTAAAGGAACTCAAGGACCAAATTCAAGATCTTATCGACAAGAAGTTCATCCGCCCTAGTTTTTCCCCATGGGGTGCTCCGGTACTCTTCGTGAAAAAGAAAGACGGAACTCTCCGAATGTGTATCGATTACCGAGAACTCAACAAGGTCACCGTCAAAAACAAGTATCCATTGCCAAGAATTGACGACCTTTTCGATCAACTTCAAGGCTCCACGGTCTATTCCAAAATCGACCTCCGATCCGGATATCATCAATTGAAGATCAAGAAGGAATATATTCCGAAAACCGCGTTTCGGACTCGTTACGGCCATTACGAATTTGTAGTGATGTCGTTTGGTCTAACCAACGCCCCAGCCGCTTTCAAAGATCTCATGAATCGAATCTTCCGCAAATATCTCGATCAATTTGTGATCGTATTCATCGACGATATCTTAGTGTATTCAAGAAATGATGAAGAACATCGGAATCATTTGGAAATGGTGCTCCAAACTCTCCGAGAGAACCAACTCTACGCGAAGTTTTCCAAATGTGTGTTTTGGTTAAGACAAGTCCACTTTCTTGGTCACGTAATTTCCAAGGAAGGCATAGCCGTTGATCCAAGCAAAATTGAAGCCGTTTGTAATTGGTCAATCCCTCGTAATGTCGGAGAAATCCGAAGTTTCCTCGGCCTCGCAGGCTACTACCGACGGTTCGTTCCAAACTTTTCCAAGATAGCCGCTCCACTCTCTCGTTTGACCCGAAAGGAAGTCAAGTATCAATGGACTCCCGAATGCGAGTCTAGTTTCCAAGAACTGAAGAAGCGATTAACCTCGGCACCAATCCTCGCTCTACCCGATAAAACCGGAAACTATGTGGTCTATAGTGACGCCTCCAAGCGTGGGCTCGGAGCCGTCCTAATGCAAAACGGGAACGTAATTGCCTATGCCTCTAGACAATTAAAAGACTACGAGAAGAATTACCCGACGCACGACTTGGAACTCGCGGCAGTCGTGTTCGCCCTCAAAATTTGGAGACATTACCTTTACGGCGAAAAATGTTCGATCTTCACCGACCACAAAAGTCTCAAGTACTTCTTTACTCAAAAAGAACTCAATATGAGGCAAAGAAGATGGCTTGAATTAGTCAAGGACTATGATTGCAAAATCCTTTACCATCCCGGTCAAGCCAACGTTGTCCCCGACGCTCTTAGCCGAAAATCCATGTCCGCCTTGATCATCAAACCGCCGCTCGAATCAACTATCAAGTCCGCTCAAGACCATGATGATCAACTTGTCAAAATCCGAGAAGGCTTAGCAACCGATCAAAATCCAAATTTCTCAATAACCGACGGCAAAATCTTGAAATTTCAAGGGAGAATTTGCATTCCGGCAAACAAAGAGATAAAGGGATAAATTTGCATGAGTAGTTTAAGAGGAATTAATTTTCAAAGCTTCTGCATTGAATCTGTCCGGATTTGCAGTAAGTCCATCATGCCTAGTTATTTTCTCGTCTTGCATGTAGCATGCTTTTGTGTCAATTATTTGATTATGATTTAGTACACTGTGACCTCTCTCCCTCTGATTTAAAAATAAAAAAATTTACATAAATTTTATATCCACAAAAAAATCATTTTTAAAAGTCTTCCGCTGAGATTACATATAATAAGAGTAATCGAGAGAGGGGTGTCACAATGATTGAGTTTATTAACATATGAATATTAGTTTGACTTTTGTGAATATTAGACTTTATCTATATAAATTAATATGAAATACGACAACTATATTTCAAAACGTTTTCACAAATTTAGTCCAAATCCTATTAATCAAATATTACTCTATATACGAGTGACTTCTAATTATTTATTTTTACTTATTCAATGGAATTTTTCTCAAGTTGGATGCTACTCTTTGATCAAATGCTAATATATGAATTATTCAAAAAATCATTCAAGTTGGGCTATACACGACTTAATTACAACAATTATTTAATATGTCATGAAAGTGAATTGTTGAATTCTTATATTAATAAGAATTTCAAATCTTATTAAGTAAAATAATTTCCTTTATTTGCTTGCAATATTGAAATAATTAACATTTATATTTCTTGAATTCTAAAAGTAAATAAAATATAATATAACATATGTCAGCTTTTTTTATTATGTAAAATAAAATATATCTAATTACAAGATTTGATTTTTATTTCTCTCTATTTTTTTATTATGTTTTATCATTCATTAGTATACATGTCAATTGCTATAGACTTATACCTCTTAGTATTATTTTTTGATAATCACATCAAAATTTACAAGAACACTATAATTATGAGAGAAAATGGAAACCAAGATTTGGATGTAAGTATTGAAAGTTTTGATGAGTGTTACAACACAATGGTTGCCTTTCTTAGAATATATGTTGCGTGCCTACAGTATGCGATTTCGACTGAAATGGCGTGAAGATTGTGATTCGAGTTCTCAACTTTAAAAAATAGAATTGTAGACAAATCATTCTTACAATATATGTTGTCTTTTCATTTCTTTATTTTTTGATTATTTATCACTGATACGCGTAAAACTTACGTATAAATAACCGCAAGTGCACATATTATAGTTACATTTTGCAGAATAGTGAATTTCGTATATCGATCCACAGGGATCTATAAATTCATTTATTGAGTAATATAATTATATTATCCCCATTTATCTAACCAGTCCTAATATTATGGTTTTCAAATTAAAAAATAAGCAATTATATCAATAGATTTTGTGTTATGCAAGAATTTCTTTTGCATTACTTTCTACCGTTCAAAAGTGGAAATATTTTTTTTGTTCTGAAAATAATATTTTATTTTTTGAGCACATGTTTATTAAACCAAAAAAAATATATAATATTTAACGACTTGTACCGGACGTAGTTGAAATTGACTTTCCAATTACTCCAAGTATCCAATATACTTGGTTTCCCAATTTCTAGTTTGGTTACTCATTCACCAACTAGAGATGCCGCTTTTTGTTTGTCATGCATTCTTTTTGCTAGTAAGCTAAATGGACGTGTCGGCTCGAATACATTTATGGGGAAAGGATTTCAAAATTGGAAGAAAGTAAATGATGGAAAGAATTGTGTTTTTTTACGCCATATTAGAGGCCATATATAGTTCCCAACATTGTGCCTCTTTCCAAAGAAGGTCTAGTGAATCAGGTGTGCATAAAAACAAGGTCAAGAAAAGATAATCAACTAAAGAAATATTTAATAAACGATTGAAGCTTAAAACCTCAATTGACTGTATTCATTATGGCTTGGATATCAATCATGTTTTTTTCGAGGTCTTGATGAAGAGGAAACGTTAAAAAAAGTTCAGGTAGTTTTCGTCAGAAGGTGAGCTCCGGGCAAATTATAATGACAAAGTAGCATGGAACTGTTTTAGATAAAGCTCCTCCTACTGCCAAGTACATCTCTTCAACAATTCAAAAAGAGATATTGCATCTTATCTCTATCTCTATCTCTATTTCTACCAGCTACAACAGCTTAATTTTTTAGTTTCTTAACATTTTTGTTTTTTATATTATGCCCGTAAACTAATTTATATACACCACTAATTTGTTGGATCAATTGTGTAATAACATTAATACCAAAGTTAATATAGTTAAATAATATTTTTTAAATCTCAAGTGTATTTTCATATTCAAATATTTACATAAGGTGATCGCTGATTTTCTTCTTGTTATAATTCTTCTACATAATAATTTTATAGATAAAATTCACTTCGTCTTAAATTAGATTTGAAGGTCTTTCTAATGACATATAATAAACATATCTGTAGAAATTTGTTTTCTTTTTCATTTTAAGTTGAGTATATACATAAAGTAGATTCAAATTTATTATTATATTATATTTATTACAAGTGTTCCACACATATGATATTGTTTTATGTGTTTTACCTTTTTATATATAACATTTATATAATCAATTTTCATTTTTGCAAAATAAAATGGTATTGAAACATGACTACTATTGTTAGAATATACTTGAAATTAACACGATCATATGATAATCATAAATTTAAAGGTTTTTATTATCTAAAAAAAAAATTAACCTTGCATCCTCTAAATGTAGCATTTTGGAACTATGCACCCAACAAAAAAAAAACAATAATAGTACCTTCCACCCTTAAAAGGTAATACAACATTCACATTGCACCCCAATTAATATTTTAATAAAATTCTCTCAATAATTTTGTTCTCGTAGGTCTTTGATAAAAAAAAAAGGAAAAAGAATCGGATTTTACTTTAATATAAAAGAATTTAATTTTCAAGTAATTTAGTGAGAAAATAATTTAATGGTGGAAGAAAATAACAATTTAACTTGTTACTTTCCAGCACAATTAAGTACTACTGCAAATAAGAAACACCCTCAATAAATACACACATACGAAAGTATTTATCATCTTGGTACTGCGTATTGCAATTTAAAAATTTCCACCCTACAACTATTTTTTTCACAAAATTACATAAAAAGTATATATTCATACAAAAGATGATAATTTTTTTTTCCAATTCCAATAAAATTAATGACATGCCTATCCAATAATTTCATAATTTTATTATGAGAATTCTTTTATTAGACTTGTATTTGATCACACCAAAGAAAATATTCTCAAAAAATTGTCCTCATTAATCTTAAAATTTCAATAGAGATGCAAAGTGAAGTCAAATATTTAATGTAGTTTATGTTATATATATATATTTTTAAATAGTATTAATTTTCTAATATAATTTGTCTATCAAAAATATATTATAAAAAATATTATTTGCTTAAGTAATTAGTTAACTTAATTTTAATTTAAAATTATACTTCAAGGGGTGTATCTTTAATATAATATTTCTTTTAAATGTGAGAAGTACGGTGTATATGCATGTAATTAGGTCCAACCTCAGGGCAGGTGTTGGGCTAAATACCTAACACGCAAGTGCACGTATCGCAAGCAAGTAGTAAAAGTGGACTCGTAAGAGTCGGATGTCGATCCCACAGGGAATACTCAAATTATCTAATCCCAAGTACCAAATTCTAACAACTATGATTTTTATCCAGCCTACACAAGGTTCTCAATTTTAATGTACTAAATAATTAAACTAATTATGAAAGCAAATAAACACGAAAAAATATCATAAAAATGGATCCAGGATTTTATCTTCCCCCTATGCGTTAATTGCTCACCCAAAACCCCTCAATTATGAAATATATGATTCCTGATTATTAACCCGATACACTATATTAATTATAGCCCGCTGTCGCGTGTATTATAATTCTATCATCCAAAACCAAATTACTATATGTCTATGCAATCCGATCATGAATAAAGCATTAAAGCATAAGTCTCAACAATGAGTACCTGAGGTGAATATATATATATGTCTACAATACCACATGCAATTAACACACTAATCCGATGAAAACTACTCGAAGGTTCTTTTACTTAACGTCTAATTATCAAAATAGCTCTGTCGAGTCAATCCCAATAATCACACATAAAACACATAAATTGATCAGGTTCATGCACTAACAATCATAACAAGTAAAAGAAATAATCATAAAATTATAATTGCATAATCTCAAGAAGACGGGTTCACCATCCCCACATAGGGTTCCAACAAAATCCTAGATTAAAAACTTAGCTACTCATGTTCTCTACGAAAAACATAATAAATGTAATAAAAGTCATAGATTTAGAAAAGATAGATGAAAGAAGAATGATGAAGATTCGTCAGGTCTTCGTCTTCGTTTCTCCGTTCTCTCGCTCCTCTTGCTCTAAGATTGTGTTTCAATGTCCCTCAATTCGTGCTTGGTCTTTGCCCTTAAATATATGTCTCAACTTGGTAGAAGATTTAGGTTTCCTTGAATGATTAAAAGTCCAAAATTGTCTCTAGCGTGTTTCCGCACGGCCACACGAGAATCAGTACAATTCTCACACGGCCGTCTTAAATCCTGAAGCTTTCTGCCCAATTTATGTAGTTGGCACGACCGTGCAAAAATAAGCTAAATCGCACACGGCCGTGCCAGGCGAAGTTTCAGCTTCCAATTGTTTTCTTCCGTTTTTGCTCGTTTTTTACCTTTTTTCGCTCATTTCATCCTTAAAACTCCCGAATGTTCAAATTTGTTGTACCTAAAATACAACAAATTAAGAATTAAGCACCGTAAAATCAATACAATTAAACAAGAATCCTCGTAAAAAGGTATATATTGAGTGTAAAATATACACTCAACGCACCCCCAAACTTGAAATTTCACTTGTTCTCAAGCAAAAACTAGCAACTTTCAAAGCAACTTTCTCAACAAATGCCTCTCATCACATAGATTAATGGGCAACTACACGTTTTCAGAACTTGCAATTATCATGACAATTCTCAAAAATATGCAAG